CTTAAAAATATGTGCAAATAATAAAATCATGATTATATTGCATATAATTTTAAAAGGGTCAAGTTTTGAGTCATCTCACATAATACATTAGGCTTTTGTAGTTTGTCCTTTAAAAGTCATAATTGAAGGAAGCTAAACCCTTTTTCGGTTTAAAAATTTAAAAAATTTTTTTCAACTACCACAATACGGCTTACTAAGAATTATTGAACAAATAATAGTATATTATGATTCTTTATTTTTCAGTATTATTTTCGTACCATGATTCATTTTAGACATCTGCTTCTTAGTATGTTATTTTTTCAAAACTCCAACATGTTACCAACTATACGTTTTTGTAAATCCGTGTTTCGAATGACCCACTTCTAGTGTATTCAAATGTTGCTGAATATTTTCTGAGCAATTTGTACAAACAAAAAACAACTTACAAAACATGTGGTTTTTAGTATTAACAAAACACCATGCAGCTAATATAAGAAGAAAAATATAGTAGGTACTTAGTAGTATTCCAGTTACTTCCAAAGGCAAACGACAGTTATCTTTATATATACTGTCAAAAATGCGTTTCTTATACATTTTTATGATGCTTGTATTAGTTCTAACAAAGTTGTCAGGTATTTTAATAAATATAGTTTTTGTAATTTCGTATAAACATTAACCACCTAAATTTAACATAACCCTTTTGTTTTTCAGCGGGATCTGGGACTGGGGGAAATATAAATCGTAAGTTATTATATCAATTACTAAAAAAAAGCTTACTAATCTTTCCAAAGCGTACACTGAGTAATTTGAAAGTATATTATTTTTGAACGAATTATCAATTACACATTTTTTAAGCTTAAATATTTATAATATTTCTATTATATTACATTTCAGTGGGATCTGGATCTGGGTCTGGGTCTGGATCTAAGACTAAGGACAGTAAGTTATTTTCTTTGTTTACAAAAAATGCATATAAATCTTTCCAAAGCGTACACTGAGTAATTTGGAAGTATATTATTTTTGAACAAACTATTAATAAGATACTCATTTTTTAAACCTTAAAAAACGTTTTATTTCAGCATTCATAATATGTACAGATTATGTCTCATCGTTAGTTTATACAAGGTCTCACCATAATTGATCGATAATGATCATTCAGCTAGACCCGTAATTTTGTTTTCGATATTGTACAAGTGTACACATAACTAGAATTTCATTGTTCTAGAATTTTGTATAAATATTATTCACCTAAATATAACAAAATCCTTTTGTTTTTCAGCGGGGATACCACCTGAAAGACGTAAGTCATTTTCTTTGTTTTACCGGAAAAAATCAATTACACATTTTTTAACTATAAACAACCGATAATATAGTACTAATAATATTAATGCTTCGTCATTGAGTATACCACAGTTATATACTTTATCTGAATATTTAAGATCTCTTTCATTTAATACCAAATGTTACGTGGGGTTAATGACTAAACAATTTTGACAGTTTGTTTTATACCGACAAACCGTTTTTTTTAAATCTTGTTCGATAAAACACAAAACGTAATTATATGTTATTTATAATTATCATAGCCCTAATCAGTAATCTCAACTTAGTATAAGAAAAAGTTACACCAAAAAACACCAAAATATAACTATTAATAATTTGAATACTAACCACTGCCTTTTTGTTTTACAGATTTACCAGCGCGTGAGTTGTTTTCATTATTTTACTAAAACAAATTCATCCAAAAATCTTTCCAAATCATGTATTGAGTAATTTGAAATAATAATATTTTTGAACGAACTATTAGTAAGACACGCATTTTTTAAACCTAAATAAATGTTTACAACATTTACAACGGTTTGACTAAATTATCTTCACTACTTAACTTTGATTATTTCTACTGGATACAAAATATACAGCTTATCTTTATTAATAAAACGTTAGTTAATATCTTACTACAAATGTACGCAGTACAATTTTTGTACGTACAATAAAAGGAACCTAAATATATATATATATATATATATATATTTAAAAATGTTAAATATTACAGCAAAAGCACGAAATGTACACACAGAACGATAAAAAGTGAAAGGTTAGAATATGTTGTCATACCTAGAGTTAAATTATACTTTTGAGCTAATTATGCTTACTATTTAACTCTAAGTTATTTTTACTGATTTTAAATGATACAGGTTATCCTTACCAACAAAACGACAGTTATTAGCTTACTATAATTTACACTATACATTTTAATGTACAACAGAAGGAACCTAAGTTTATATGCGGTTCTGTACCTGCGGTCGGAAACCGTGACATCTTACAAACGTTTAGTAAATTGTTCACATATCTTATCAGCAGACAAGACTTGATGAAATTCTTTTCTAACTCAACCGCTTCAAATTTTGATTACGATATTAAAATATTATCATGCCAAAAAAGTGCGTGCACCGTGACTTGCATTGTGTATTCAGAATCCGGAAAAATCATGTGCCGTTTTGTTGATACATTGAAGTATTGTCAATTTATTGTGTTTATAAAATCCCTAATTGCGACTAAATTTTATATTGCCCTACAATTTACGATGAAAACTAATAAACTTAATGATTTCAAAAACAAAAACTTGTTCCTATTAGTAATAGTGAAAATGTTGTAATCAAATTTTTGATATTTGACATAATATTATGCCCCCGGCTACTGAAGATTTTAAATTTTACATTCATATTCCATAAACATTAGAATATATTACCCTGATGTGGAAATAATAACTAATCATTGCTGATGGTAATGATAATGACAATTAATATGGAACAGCTGATATTGACGACAAATCGCAGGAATGTTAGAAAGTAAAATTTATTTAACGTTCAATAACACATAATAATAATGATTATTCAACGAAATTGAGGGGCTGAGCACTTTCCAGAATATGCGTGCAATGGCATATTATTTAATATTAAAATTGATTTTTTTTAATTGTACAAAACCGGTTAATTTTTAAAAAACCTTAATCATTTTAACTAAAAACTCCTAAGAACTGAAGTAAGAATATACGGAAGCATTTTACATTAATTAGTAAGTATAGCATTCGTGTATTAATTGTATTATATAATAATATTTTAGGTATAAAACAATTATACCATAGGTTTTAGAAATGTTATAATGTGATTTGAAAAATACGATTTTACTCATATACACAATAGTTGGTCGGTATGTTTAACAGATCGAACTATAGCATATTGTTTTCAATATCGTACAAAGGCGTTATATTATTTTAACTGAAAAATATGTGCAAATGATAAAATATATTATATTGCAAATTATTTTAAAGGAATTACGATTTGAGTCATCTCATATAATATATAAAATATTTAATAGTATTAATTGAGCTAATCCCTTACTCAGTTTAAACATTTAAAAAAAAATATATTTTTCAACTATATTTTTCGGCCTACCAAAAAATATTTAACAAATAATTGAATAATATAGTTCTTAATTTTTCAGTATTATTTTTGTACCATGATTCATTTAAGACATCTGTTTCTTAGTATGTTATTTTTTTAATACTCCTACATATTACCAACTATATGTTTTTGTAAATTTGTGTTTCGAATGACGCACAAACAACGAACGTTTGTTAAAAAGTATACAAAAAAATGATCAATGTCTTAAAATGGAAAATATGTCCTCTCTTAACATTTAACATATACAGGGTGATCCACTTACCGGGATCCATTCAATATCTCATAGGGTTTAATAAGAATAGTTAATAAAATATTTACGTTCCAATTGAAATTTTAAAAGTTGCTATCAAAAAAGTTGGGAGGGGGTAAAAACAAAATAAATGTGAAAAATTGAGATTGCATTGTATAAAAGAAATATGAAAAAAAACTATTAAATTTCTTACTAAACCCTATGACATATTGAGTGGTTCACGATAAGTGGATCAACCTGTATTTTCATTTAATTATTTTTAATATTTTTTCCGTAAAATTTTTTTTTCGTTTATATTATATTCTTGATGGAAATTATGAAAACGCATTTTGTTTTTTCATATTAGATTATTGCGTAGTTAAAGTGTAAGGTATACACGCTTTAAAGTAAAATATTCAGTTGTTTTATTTTATGTATTATTGTTTGACTCGAAATTTTATAAAACCGGATTATTTAAAAAAAATTAATACCTCCCCTGCATCGCATCGAAGCTAAAAACGTTAATTATTTTCGTTAAAAAATTCCAAGAACTGAAGTAAGCTGTAATATTATACGGAAGCGTTCCTATTAACGTTATATAATTGCATTATTGTGTTTTCCTAGTGTCATATATATTAATTTTTTTACATATCAAGATTTTAGGTATAAAAACAATAATACCATAGGTTTTAGAAATGTTATGATGCGATCTGAAAAACATGATTTTACTCATTTACACAACAGTTGTTCGGTAATGTTTACAGATCGAACCATAACATGTTGTTTTCAATATCATACATTGGTATTATATTTTTTTAACTGAAAAATATGTACAAATAATAAAATCTATTATATTGCATATCATTTTAAAGGGATCAAGATTTGAGTCATCTCACATAATATATTAGGCTTTTGTAGTTTGTCCTTTAAAAGTCATAATTGAAAGAAGCTATACCCTTACTCCGTTTAAAAATTAAAAAAAAAATTAAACTAAAACTGTACGGCTTACTAAGAATTGTTGAACAAATTATAGAATATTATGTTTCTCTATTTTTCAGTATTGTTTTTGTATCATGATACTTTTTAGACATCTGTTTCTTAGTATGTTATTTTTTCAAAACTCCTACATATTGCCCCAACTATATGTTTTTGTAAATTCGTGTTTCGAATGACCCACTTCTCGTACGATTTTGTATTAAAATGTTGATAAATATGTTCTGTGCAATTTGTACAAACAAAGAACAACTTATAAAACATGTAGTTTTTACTATTAACCAAATACTACGCAGCTTATATAAGAAAAAAAATATAGTAGGTCACCACTAGTAATCCAGTTACTTCCAAAGGCAAACGACCGTCATCTTTATAGATATTGTCAAAAATGCATTTCTTGTGCACTGTTATGTTGCTTGTGGCAATTCTAACATTATTCTCAGGTATTTGAATAAATATAATTTTTGGAATTTCGTATAAGCATTAACCACCTAAATATAACAAAATCCTTTTGTTTTTCAGCGGGATCTGGGTCTGGATCTGGGTCTGAGGACTATTCTACACGTATGTTTTTTTCTTTGTTTACTAAAAAATGCATATAAATCTTTCCAAAGCGTACACTGTAGTAATTTGGAAGTATATTATTTTTGAACGAACTATTTATAAGATACTCATTTTTTAAACCTAAAAACATTTCAGCATTTATAATATGTACAGATTATGTCTCATCATTAGATTATACAAGGTCTCACCATAATTGATCGATAATGATCATACAGCAAGAACCATATTTGTGTTTCCGATATTGTATAAGTGTACACATAACTAAAATTTCATTGTTCTAGAATTTTGTATAAATATTAATCACCTAAATATAACAAAATCCTTATGTTTTTCAGAGGCGACCCCGCCTGAAAGACGTAAGTTAGGTTTTTTTAGTAAACACAGAAATCTTTCCAAAACGAATTATCAATTACAAATTTTTTAAATAACAATTATTTTTGAAATTTATTATAAATATTTACCACCAAAATATAATAATTTATAATTTCATTAATTACCACTTCCCTTTTGTTTTACAGCTTCTCATACAGCACCAAAATTGAGTAAGTTATTTTCATTGATTTACTAAAAAAAGCATACTAATCTTTTCAAAGCATACACTTGTGTAATTTTAAAGAATATTCTGGTATGTTGAACTAAATCAACTGATAAATAGTCATTATAATAATTTTTTTTTGGCTGCATATCTAAGATCACTTTTGTTTATTTAACAAAATATGTTGCGTGATGTTACTGCCTTTGAAATGTTACTCGTGAGATAACTAGTTATCGTCATTAGATACTAGTGAAAATTAACAAAAAAATAATTTAAGTTTGATTAATAACAACCATTTTTGAAATTTTGTATAAATATTAACCACCTGAATATAACAAAACCCTTTTGTTTTTCAGCGGTATTTGGGTCTAAACATGGATCTGGGTCTGGGGCAAATAAAATACGTAAGTTATTTTCTTTGTTACTAAATAATGCAAATAAATCTTTCCAAAGCGTACACTGAGTACCTAAAAACCTAAAAAAATGTTTACAGCATTTATAATATGTACAGATTATGTCTCATCATTAGATTATACAAGGTCTCTCCAAAATTGATCGATAATGATCATACAGCTAGACCATCATTTTATTCCCGATATTGTATAAGTGTACACATAACTCGAATTTCATAGTTCTAGAATTTTGTATAAATATAAACCACCTAAATATAACAAAATGTTTTTGTTTCTCAGACGGAAAAGCGGCTTATGTAGATAAAAGTAAGATTTTTTGTTTTACTAAAAAAAACATACAAATTTGTTCAACTTGAGTAATTTTGTAGAATATTTATATTTTTGAACGAATTATCAATTACATAATTTTTAACCATAAATTATAGTATTTATAATATGTACAATTATAATGATTCGCTCTTGAGTATACAGTAGTCTGGTGAACAAAGTCGTTTTAGTCATTATAATTATATCCTTTATCTGCATATTTAACACCAATTTCATTGATTAACAAATGTTACGTGGTGTTAATGACTAAACATTTTTGACAATTTGTTTCATACCGACAAACTGTTTTTTTTTAATTTTGTTCGAAAACGTAATTATATGTTATTTATAATTATCAGAGTCATAATCTCAATTTAGTATATTAAAAAGTTTAGGTTTTTTTTTTTTTGTTTCTTTCATTCGCCAACAATAATACTTACCAAAATGCATTACTTGTAATTTGTTATGGTGCTAGTAGCAATGTTAAAGCACTCGAGTGTACATAAGTAACAATAATTTTTGAAATTTTTTATAAATATTAAACACCAAAGTATAACAATTAATAATTTGAAGACTAACCACTGCCTTTTTGTTTTACAGTTTTACCAGCGCGTGAGTTATTTTCATTACTTAACTAAAACAAATTCATCCAAAAATCTTTCCAATTCATGTATTAAGTAATTTGAAAGAATAATATTTTTGAACGAACTATTAGTAAGACACGCATTTTTTAAACCCTAAATAAATGTTTACAGCATTTACAACGGTTTGACTAAATTATCTTTATTAACAAAATGTTAGTTAATAACTTACTACAAATGTACACAGTACAATTTTTGTACGTTCAATAAAAAGAACCTAAATATATTACCTATAATATATATAATTTTTTTTAATATTACAGCAACCCCAAAAAAAAAACCAACTCCTAAAGATGTGAAAGGTTAGAATATGTTATCGTAGCTAATTATGCTCACTATTGAACTCTAAGTTATTTTTACTGAATTTAAATTATACAGGTTATCCTTACCAACAAAACGACAGTTATTAGCTTACTATAATTTACACTATACATTTTAATGTACAACAGAAGGAACCTAAGCTTATATATAAATTTTTTTAATTACTGAATTTTTAGAAAAACACGAGAAATAGCAACACCAGCCGCGCAATCGCCGAACGGGCAGACTACGGGCATTATACATTTAATACAAATTATATAAATCATAATTTTAATTATTTTAAACATAGCGCTTCACGCAATATATGTTCACTTTTATTAGAATAAATAATAAATAAATAAATCATTCAACTATAAATAAAAAAAGAGCATTTTATTAATTAAAGGTAATATACGATTTTTTTGTGCTTAAGAGGATGCCATACCATTTGAAAATAATCGTATGTGTGTTTATGGAAAAGAGTGATTTCAAAGCGAAATAGTCATAGAGAACATATTTCGATATCATTAAAAAGAAAAAAACTTTATCTAGATTCGCTCGTCGGATTTTTTGAGAAAACGTAAATTCTATTTTAATTACACGCGTTTATAAAAGTAAAATAATGTCTTAATTAAAATAATAGTTATGAAAATTGTGTAGATAATATAAAAAACAAATCGACGAAAGAACCTAGATTAAGTTTTCATTATTTTAATTATGCAAAAAAAAATTGTCTACACTTATTATATAGTCAATATAGTGAATAATATGCGTAGTTATGTTTAGATGACATTTTTTCTTTGAATCGCTGTCAAAAAAAATGTGATGGTCCTAAAAAAAATAATAAAAAAAAAAAAGAGTCCTAACTCGAAACTAAACCAAGGTCTCATTCGTTAAAATAATTTAATACAAATCGGTTATCAGATATTTAAGAAAAAATAATTAATTACTGCTAGAGCGCTTAAATGCCTTTCTAGCGAATTATTTTACAAAACGAACGATTCAAATAGATTGTGAAAAAATTGTGCAATTGTCTTAATGCAATAATAAGTCTTAACTACTTATAGTGAATTTGATCATCTACGATTTCGCATTGAAACGTTTGTTCAAAAGTTTTTTTAATACAGAATAAATAAAATAAATAAGTAGAATAGAATAGAAAATTAGAATCATATAATACACTTCCTTAATGATATAACCAAACACTTTATTCGGACCCAACGCGGCTTATTGTGCTTGCTGCACATATAAAGTACATCATGAACAAATTACATTGCACGCACACATCATGTATACAGCCTTTACGTAATTAATTTACTAAAAATATACTAATCAATTATTCTAGAAACCATAAAATTAAGTACATGCATTCTAGTTATAATGTAAAAAAAAAACAGTTACCCAACATTAAAATTTAAGGGACAATGTAAAAAGAAAAATTAAACCTTGAGTTTTTACTACTTAATTACTTTATTTTGTCTTTCTATAATGCTTCATTATTTATTTTATTCCTTAACTAAATTTATTTGCGAAATAGTAATTCGATGAATAAACTTTTAGTTGGAGAACCGGGCCCAAATTAAAAATATTTTTTCCGTATTATCTATTTTTTCGTTTTTATTCTATTCTTGATGGGAATTATGAAACGCATTTTGCTTTTTTCATATTAAATTACCGCTTAATTAAGCTGTAAGGTATGCTTTATCTATTATAAATTTACTATAAAAAAAAAATATAATACCATTGTACGATATTGAAAACATCATAATATGGTTCGATCTGTAAACATTACCGGCCAACTGTTGTGTGTATGAGTAAAATCGTATATAGCCTATACATAAAGAAAACAACCGAATATTTACTTTAAAGCGTGTATACCTTACACCTTAACTAACCGATAATCTAATATGGAAAAAACAACACGTGTTTTCATATATCCTATCAAGAATACAGTATAAGCGAAAAAAAAAAATTACGGAATAAATATTTAAAATTTTTAATAAAAAAACGAAAACATTATTACATGTTTAATGTTTTTATTTTTTAACACAATGATAATAGACCCTTTTGATCACTAAGCCCTATTAAATAGGGCATAGTGATGATAAGGAGGTCGCAGGTTTAAAACAATTATTACAATTGAAAGTGATAAAATCACTTTCGAATAAACGCTTCGATGCGAATCAGTAGTTAGTATTTTCAAACCATTAAAGTCCAAACCAAGCACAGTATACACCAGCAAAATGAGGTGCAGTGCTTATAAATTAGCATCAACGCGTTTATTTGAAAGACATTTCATCTAGTACAGTATGGTGAGGGAATATGGAATCAAAGCATAGAGGGGACGGAGAGGTCACAGGTCTATAGAAATTATTTTTAATAAAAATGATCAAGTTCTTTATTTTGGTATTTTAAGTGTAGTAAAGCACAAAAGTCAAAATATACATTTTAAAAGAACATCTGCTGCGAATCTACTACAATAACCTGATTTGATCAGTAAACAAAACCAACCAACTATTGTATACATACAAGTGTAATATCATGCTTTTCAAATCGCGTTATAATAATAATTCTAAAATCTTAAGTATTTGTTTTTATACATAAAACATTATTAGAATATGTTAATAAAATTAATATAGATTTTATTAGGAAAAAACAATACTCCGATTATAAAATATATATTCGTATGGTGTATCTGACCGGGAGGGCTATAGCTAACTTATGCCAGTTCGTTCGCCAGAGGGCGCATGTCATTTCTGCCATGCTTGTCGGGGGTTGATGCAGTAATAAGTATTATTCAAAGAAATTGAGGGGCTAAGAAGCACTTCCTAGAATATGCGTTCCAAGGCATATAAAATTACTTTAAAATTGTATAAACCAGTTTATTTTTATACAACCTTAACAATTTTCAATAAAAACTCCTGAGCACTGAAGTAAGAATATAAGGAAGGATTCCTAGTATCGTTATATAACTGGAGAATTGTTATTTTTCTAATAAAATCTTTATTAGTTTTATTATACAGTAATATTTTAGATATAAAACAATAATACCACAGGTTTTATAAATGTTGTAATGTGATTTGAAAAATACGATTTTACAGTTAAAATATTTATCAGTTCCGCGCGAACAGTCCGCTAGTGCGTACGCATTTTATTCCGCTCTCGAGTTATGTTCAATTCTATGGCTCTACCCCACACGGAAAAAATCTGCATTTCACACCAGACGACGAGTGTTGTACTCTACACTTAACTAGCCTTGCTGAGACTTAATTTTCATAAGTTCGCACCAAGTAATATTGCTAATATTATTATACATAATTTTCGCGTGTCTGCTATACACTCATTAC